AGAGCAGTGTCGCAGGGTGATGGATGGCAGCAGAAGCTGCCACGTGCAAGCTTCCCCATCCCCATCTGGAGGAGCAGAGGAGGAAGCTTAAAAAGTGCTGGATTTTCAAGAATTCTGGATTTTCAAGATCCAGACTTATGAGATTATACTGTAGTTACTTATATACCACATGTACCTTTTCCACAAAAATCAGCTCCAAAATTTCGCTGTGCATCTTAACTAGGGAAGCTGATTTCCATGCTTTGATTCTGATGAAGAAAGAATGGAAGCATAAAGGCACTGCTATAAGGCACAAGTGTAGGCTAGGGTTCAGGAAAAAAATATTTTTCTCTACGTTCTGCCTTCCAACATGGTATGTGGCTTATTTGTGGGGCATGTGGTATACAAGAAAATACAGAATTAGGGCCTTGTTACACATTCATTTTAGACAGCTCCTGGATATTTGAACCTCTGGACTGTCCACACATTAACACATGAAAAATGTTGTAAGCACTCTAGCTGACTTAAAGTTATGCCATTCCAGCCTAGGAGTATCTCTGATCCATGTTATCCAGCTTATGTAACACTAATGTGTAGCCACTCTAAACTACATATTAGTGTGAACACCCCACTTCCCCTCTCCTCCACTAGCCCAGATTGGGTCCACTGCCCCTCCACCCTCCCCAGCACACCAGATCCCCACTCACTGCCTCCCACCCACTCCCACACTTATCTGTGGCTGCTTGCACTATCTGTCCTGGAGAAAAGCAACAGCCCAGTGGCAGTAGCAGGACAAGAAAGTTAACCCTTTCAAGCCAGTTTCCCTATGACAAATAGCACAGGCAGCTACAAGAAAATAGGTGGGGGAGATGGGGGAACCCCAATGGGTGGTCGTGGTGGGAGGGGTGCCCCTTTCAGTCCTCCAGGCCCCTGCTGGATTAATGTGTAACAGCTTCAAACTTGAGCTAGCAACAACACCAAGCAACATTTGTGTTATGTGTAATGTGTAACAAGGCCTTTGGAAGCTCCTTATTTGAACATATATTTTGGAGCAAGATCCAAATGGATGATCACATAAAAAGTTACAAAAGCTATCTTTTAATATTGCTCAAGTGACCTTTTCCAGGTTTTCTGGGACAGCAATATTTCACTTGTTTTATCCAAGAAAACTCTATTTATGTTCCTTAACATATAAGGTAAGTAAAAACAAGTCTTTTAAATAATCTTCTTGGATTATGTGTTATTTAGAGTGGGAGCAAAAAAGAAGTTGAGTCTATTGATTCAGAGAGACCATAACTCCTTTTGATGTACCTGGTATAGTCTCTGCCTAGTAATCATTAGAGTGTAAGCAGTGGAAATGGATGGGACATACAGAAAATAAAGTCTTTAAAATAATGTCTGAAGTTAAAAATGGGTAAGTTAAGTTAAATTTAATATTGATATTTTTTCCAGTAACTGTTTATGAAAACTAAGAAAAATCATGAAACAGCTATTTAATGTAGTAAGCACATTGTGTGAAGAGAGAAATCTTTCACCTTTCATATTTTTCAAAAAGAGGTGAGTATCTGTCTCAGTCTGAAGTTAGGTAAGGGTGACACCTTAGAGACTTCCTAATTTAGAAAGACATGAGCTTTTGCAGAGAAGAACCTACTATGTCAGATGCTTAAGTGGATATTATTTAAAAAAGAGTAAATATGTTTAGCCAAAAGTGTATAGCATAGGCCCGCCAATTTTCTGTCTAGCCCACTTCAGCCTCCCTCCCTGCCCCCATCAGGAATAGGCTGGCATCACCCTGGCTTCAGGACTGAACTCATAGCCACAATGAAATCAATGGGAACATTGACATTGATTTAGCCGGACTTGGATTTCATTGTATTTTTTTTTAAATTATGCTTTGGTTGCTACTCTTCAAAACTTTGCTCTATTCTTATGTCCTAAACACTCACAGACTTTCTCTTCCTTCAACTGCCTCCCGTAAATCAATGGGAACAAGCAATCCCTTCTTTTTATTATCAATATCCACAGTGTTTTCCCTCTCCTGGACTGCTTCCTTCTTTTTTCATGTGTATCTATTTGGTTCATCTTATTCAGATTGGAAGGATTTCAGAATAAAAGAAGATCTTTTCTTCTAAATGGTTGTTAAATTTATGGTGCTCTATAAATTTTTTTTGAAGATGAAATAAAAAGGAAAACAAATTATAGTCTCAAGTTATAACCCAAAATAATTTAGTGTTACTTCAATTAATGTTCAAAAAGTATGCATTTTAATGGTAGTAGCATGCCTATTTATTACTTAACTATAACACCACTACATTTCCACTTATTCCCTCCTACTTTTTTTAAACCTATTGCTTTCCTCATATTTTTTGTAATACTGTTGTCAAAAGCAATTCCCACTTACAGTACCAAATATTAAAATGATTTCTGGCTTTATTACAGTTAAGCTGACCTTTTCCCATAGTAGCAATCCTAAGTAAAACTGAGAAGGAAATGCCTTTTTTTTAATCCAGTGAAACTTTTTGAGCTGTTTCCTTTTTCATCTTTGTTTTTAATCAACAATCAAAACACAAAAATCTCATCCAATTAACCAGCCAACCAAAGCCAGTCTCTACCTGCCTTATTTAATCAAGAATTTACCCCCTGGGCCAGATAATCTATACTTTAAAAAGTTCAACTGAATCTGGTATGTTCTGATTAAAAGTTTTAGTTTTGACAAGTAAGACTTGTCTGGAAAAAATGAAAAAGAAAACCTCTATTAAAAAATGTCCAAATAAGCTCGAATCTCAAATTCATAAATGCATAGTAGATACTAGAGACAATAGTGAAAGCCTTTGTCCTCACAGATGTATCTTTCTCTGTCTTATATCAAAAACTACCTCTATAAAGGAAAATGTTGAACCTAGGCAGATTGTAGGGGAAAACGATGAACTACATAGCCTGTGAGGTTCTTGTACAGGGGCTCAAAGGATTACAAAGAAACAACGGGTGTTGCTAGGATCAAAGAAAAGCACTAGATTCTACAACTTGTACAAGACTTGTTGGAAATCAGCTCATCCCGTGTCTAACAGATGGCTAATCATTATCAGAAGCTTCTGAAAGCTCTGTATACAATAATTCACCAGTTCATTTTGGAGACATTTGTGTTTTATTTACACTTCAATCAAAATGGCCAAAAGTTAAGTTGCTGCTGTTATTGTAAACTCTAAGCTAGATTCATCATGCTAATATTACATATTCACTAGCAAAGCTAGCTATGACTAACCAGCTCAATGGAAATGCAAGGCAGCAAAAAAAAAGAAGTGATATAAGACATCGGATTTTCAACAATGAAAAGTTCACTCTGCTCACAAAGCCACAACTGTTAGCTTAAATAAGCAGGTGTCCCTATTTTCTACTACCAGGTTCATAGGTTTGTATATTGCAGAAACATTTTGTGCGAGATTCTCTCTTTTGCTAAGGACACTTTGAGCTGCATTAAGCAACCTAAAATAAAGAGAGGGAAGCTGTATGAGCAGCAAGGGGGGTTGCTCTTTGACTTTTGTTCAGGTTAGAGTGGCTGGGCTAATTGGCACTATCACTCAGCAGTGCTAATTAGCCTTATTAGGTGCCATGTGGGGGGCAATGATACTTTTTCCTGCATATGAAACAACTACCTATATCTGTCCTGTGTGCTTCAGGGCACAACCTCTGGGTACAGTAAGTTTACAACATCCACACACAGGTTTCCAGTGGTGCAATTTAAAATTACAGAGTTCTGATAATCCTTTAATACTTAAATGCTGCAGCTAATATGTTGTGAAAGGCTAGGTTTTTTACTTCTCTCCAAGGTTCCTCAAACTAAAGTTCTTATTTGAAATTTCAGGAACAGTATTTTTAGTGCTTAAGCCCCTTTTCATAAATCTGGTGGAAATCAAGGAAATAATTTTAATTATTATGGTTTAGATTTTCTTATTCTTTTTTGCTTCAGCATTTTGTAACTTTTTGTCATACAATACTTAATATACATAAACATAGTCTTAAAAAACCTTCAAGAATTTAATTTAGAGATGCTGCTCCCATGAAATCGAAGTGGTCGGTCCTCACGTTTTAATGATATTTGCATTTGCTTTTCTGTGAATATAGAAATAGTAATGGGACATACAGATACTCTTTATTCACATAAAAGTAAATGCACGTTTTTAAATCCTTAAATTTTAAATACGTTAAATGTTTATATGGAATGTAAATAATCAGTTAGAAGCTTTTCAGTGTTTCTTTGTGAATGCTTAAACTCACCATCTATCTATTAGCATATCTTTAAATGTTTTCAATTGTCTTATGGCATTTGGGGAAATGGTAAAGTATGTGCCTATGTGCAAAAAAACGAGTATGTATAAGTCACTTTTCTTTCTTTTTTCTAGTTTTGTGTCAGGTACATCATGTTTAGAAATGTGTACATTGCATTTTAATTCCATCCAATTTCTTAGGGTTCCACTTTTATATTGTTGTTGTTGTTGCTATGCTTAAATTAGTATGGACAGGTTGGGTGATCAGCAGACAGAATTCAATTACTGATGGAAAATACTTTATACAAATCCAATGACAATTCCTTTTTTTGTTTTGCTATGAATGTTTAATTTAAACATATACTTAAATGACTAGAGGAGAACAAAGGAATGTTTCCTTTTTAGGATTAAATATTTCTGGTTATTTTAATGATTCAATAATTATATTTAGTGAGTATAGACACATACAATAAAAAAGAGATAGATACTGAACACTTTTGAAAATAAGCCCAGTTCCATTTGGATTCCTTAATATTGACTTATGTGCCTGACTTTAGGGACTAAAGTATGAGAAGGTTGAAATTTCATTTGTAGATCAGGAAATACCTGGAAATATTGTTTTGTTTAATTAAACCATGATGGAAAGCCAGTAGAAAATAAGATGATCCCAAAACATGATGTTGTTTTATATAAAGGAAGAGAAAAAAAAAGAATACTCAAGGTAATTTAAATATGTAACTACAAAGATAAACTTACCTTCACAGAAAGGGGGTGAGCCCTCAAACTGCAATTGTGCATTCAGTTTGCAGGTCAATATGTCATTTCCAACCAAAGTGAAACCAGGATGGCACTTGTATTTGGCAAAGTCTCCTAAAAAGTTTCAATAACAAAGACTTTCCTGAATACTTCTGTATTTTACATTATCTTTTATTATCTGATAATTATGCTACTTCCTTTCAAATGCATTTTTATAAAAGAAAAGAAAAAAGAATGGAGTAATTAAAAGGAAAGTTAATATTAAAAATAGATAAACAAAATTATCTTATACTCTGCTGGGAAGATGGAGAAGCAAAGCAAAGAAAGATGTTCCTATTAAACTGGCATATTTGGTTTAAGTAAAAAAGCTATCAGCATGAGGATACCACAGAAGAATATTCAGAATAAGGATGAGCTGTTGTAGTAGTTTATATTTTAAATAAAAAATGAACAAAGCTCCTCTGCATGAAAAAATAAGATGTTGCTCTGACCTATTTCAAAATCCTCATCTTCTGTAAATAAATCAGCATGTGGAACTATTGGAGGAGGCTGGCACTTCTTAAGTTGATATGCTACAAAATAAAATGTAAGTATAAATAAATACCATTAAATACTGATAAGATTTAATATATTGAAATAGTTCCAATTATTCAATAGGCCCATAATCAGACAATTGACTGTACGTAGACATCTGTGCTACCATAGACCCTTGGCACAAGGTTATATTTATGGAATGATTAATGCATTAATCATGGCATAAATAGTAATGATGCCATATATTCAACCAATTTTTGGTGCCCAAAAGTGTGAAACATCTTTGTGGCTAGTTTGCACGGCACCATAAATGGAACATGCAGCATGCCCTCATCAGCTAACTGTCAGCCTCACCACTGATACTGAGGTCAGAGTCATGACAGCTGTTGTCCTAATGCTGCAAACTGGCTGCTGGGCAAGCAGGTTGAAAGGTTCCTGGGGGAGCTGTCACCCCCCCCCCCCCCCCCCCCCCCCCACCCCACCCCCCCCCCCCC